CTCCTCCTCCTCCTCCTCCTCCTCCTCTCTCTCCCCACTTCCTCTCCATCTCTCCATCCTTATCTTTCCCTCCCCCGCCTCCGCACATTTGTGTTGCTCTTTCGCTCACTGCCATCTAGCTTCCTCTGGAGCCTACGTGACGCACAACGGCAACAGACACTCCCAACTTTACACGCAGCAGATCCATCCACCCAGAGGACACCCCGGGATCCCCGGGAAGAGACCCACTGCCCCATCTGATACCAAATGCCCACCCCTTGGCCCGGGAAGCAGAATTTGAGTGCACACAACTGATTCCCAGCAAGCAGGTATGTTGCCAGCGCAGGGGTCAAGGGGCGATTCCTATGAGAGTGGCACAAGTAGCAGGTGGTGGCATGGGAAGGAAAAGATACGGACTCACCTGTATTGTGCGATTCCCCGTTAACGGTCCGGAAGTCCCTACACATACAGGTAGGTTTGAATAAGCAGAGAGGAAAAAAAAACAAGAAAAGTTAGACAGCAAGCTGTCGGCACTGGAGGAATGACAAAGGAAAGAAACCCCCTATCCACGGGGCTCAGACGTTTATTACTGGAATGGCCACGGCAAACATACAGGATATTGTGGTTCACGTTTAAAATATTTTTTTTTTTTTTTTACTTTTTAAAATTTAATTAAAGTTTGGAGAGAAAACGAACTGACACTCTTTCTCATATGCAGCATTGGTTGAACTGCAATTTTCTTTATTTTGTTATATTGATCCAACTCTAAGGAATCATTCACTCAATGTCTAGGCAGATGCCCATACATAGAAGGCCTCGCAGCATATGTTTAAGAACTAAAATTACGCTGCAACTAGTAAAGCTCTGATCACATTTCAGAGTCCTGTAGGGAACATGTAGGGAAAGCCCCAGCTCAACGCATGATTTGTACGTGGCCACTGTCGGTTTCTGCCGCGTACTATAAGGAGGGTCTGAAGGTACAGTCCAAACCAATGGGCCCCGGTTGTAAGAATCTGCTGGAAGGCTTATCATCAAGGCAGACTCTCTGTCCCTGTGCCGAGATGATGGTTTTGCCCATGAACTGGGGAATACGTTTATTAACTAGCACCCGGGTGACTGTGAAGCAGATGGTGCTTTGACTTTGTAGACGATGCTGGTGGGGTACAACCACCAAGGGTCCATCTGCAGTCAGGCTGATTAGCCTTTTGGTTGAAAACAGGGTGTTTAGAATCATCTTTGTCTCCTATTAGCTTCATGTCCATGGGGAAAGTTAGAAACCTTCCTTTAGCCAGGAAAGTGGCAATCATAAAAATAACGCCTAGCCCATAGCTCCCCATGGGGACTGAACAGGGAAATGTACGCAGGGCACCTAGCACACTATCAGGAACCCAGGAGGCATTTAATTACATGTAGTGATTATTACCGTGAATTTACGGAATCTATTAATGACTAAAGGGGAGAGGCACACGGCGGCACTCTGGACCAAGGCCCATCAGTGGTTGGCAAGCACTGGCCAGAAGTCAACCCCACAGACGTTATAAGGGGGAAGAATACAGCATGCCCAACATGTGCCAGAGACTCAAGGTTCAGACACCCTGTGCAGAGAGAGGAATCACAGCCACATGTTCAGAGCAGGCCCTGCCATAGGATAAGTGCCCGAGTGCGACAGCTATGAGACCACGATGCATGCCTAAAGCTCTCATGTGACACTAAGGCACTAGGCAGGTTTGTGAGTTCCCTGCCAGGGACAAAGAGCTCGATGTTCCTTTTATTTCTTTCTGCCTCGCTCTCTTAATCATTGGGTCTCAAAACTCGAAGGATCTGCGAGAAGCATTTAGCAGAAACAGATGCTCCAAAGGGAAAACTGTACAGGAAGTCAAGAACAGCTGGCCTGAAATGGTCATCACAGCAAGGAAAGAATCAGAAAGACACTGCAGTTGTCAAATACCCTGGTGTCCTTAGAGCCAGACAGAGGGATCTCATGGAGCTGGCAGTCCAAGTATTTATCTAGCAGTTGGAGGGTCAAGTTGGACTTGATCTGTCCTGAGTTTGAGAGTGTCAGTTTCTCTTAAGGGGGTAAGAGCAAAAGTTTCACTCCAAAAGGTGACTGTCTTCACCATAAGCACCTGCCGGAGCGAGTATGAGGTGAGACACGCGTCTCTGGAGGCGGCCGCCTCTGATATGAACACCTTGCACCACAGAGAGTGATTCTAGGGTCTATGGAGAAGTATTTTCCCACAATATGGCCACGAAAAGCCAGCCAAGCCCATTATCCGATGCTCAGCTGAAGGAACAGCAACCCGTTTCCACCTTGAAGGAAAAGCTGGAGTGTCCGCTCCCTCGGAGCTGGTGCGCAGACACTACGGGGAGAATTCCGAGGGTTCTCAAGGGGAAGCTGGACTCCAAGCAGTCTCTCTCTTGTGCACTAACTTTAGAATCTACTCGAATATAATGCGACTCCACTGTTTTTTTTTTCCTTTTGTTTGGAGAAACTTCAATTGCTGATAATGTCTCCCAATTAACTGAAAGATAGATCTAATTACCCCCAGTTCACAGATGGAGAAATAGAGGGTCTTGCCAGCAGGTGCTTTGCAAGAGTAAATGATCGGGCTGGATTTGATCACAGGACACCTGCCTTCACGCCCGAAGCTCCTTCCCCTACATCAAAGGAGAGAGGTGGAATCAAAAATGCAAGGGGGGGATGGAGTGCCTGGGTGGCTCAGTTGGTGAGCACTTCGGCTCAGGTCGTGATCTCATGGTGTGTGAGTTTGAGCCCCGGCATCAGGCTCTCTGCTCTCAGCACAGAGCCTGCTTCGGATCCTCTGCCCCTCCCCTGCTTGCACTTTCTCCCTCTCTCTCTCTTAAAAATAAATCAACGTTTTTTTTAAAAATGCAAGGGGATTCCAGTAGGTTCAGAACCATTTTTTTGTCAGTTGCATGACACCAAATTCAGAAGAGAAATTGCTTGTGTTCCTAGAATTATTAATATCAGTAGAGGGCATGTGGGAGTGAAACTTACAGCAGAGGAAGGAGATAGGCTGTAAATCACAGAATGTTTAATAAAAGCTGCTGACCATAAGCCCAAGGTGGGGGGTGGTACGTATGTATATGTACACACACACACACACACAAAATATGTACTGAATATAATTGATTAGATCATCTTATGACCTTCTCATAGCTTTCCGTACTTTCCGTTTAGAGTACTTCCTGGAACGACAGTTTTACATTCACTGGTCTTGTTATGTGGCTCCGAGTATCATATACTTCCCCTACTACACCAGAGGCACCACAAGGGCAGAGGTGGGCTGCCTTTCGTCATCATCGATGCCCCCAGAACAGTCCCTGACACACGGCACAGGTGTGTTAGATGTTCGCTGCAGTTCCCGGATAAAGACTGTAACTTCAGCTACCTTCCCTGAGTGGACTGCCAATTATAACCCTAGAGGGCTGCAAAAACAACTTCTGTTTTCCGTCTGATTCTCACTAATTATCAGTGATGTGTCAGGGAGCCCTCCTTCCACACTTGGAATGGAATAGGTGTCTGGAGAAAGTGTTATGAAGTTGCCCTTCCTTTCCTGGACGCCCGTTCCCACGGCTGTTCCTTGATTCCCACTCCCCCAGCTGGGCTAGGAGTCCCTTCCTTCTGGACGCACTCCCAGCTCAGCCTCTTTCTTATCTACGACAGGGGTTGTGAGGATGCCTCCTTTGCTAGGTCGTGGGCGCAGTGAAGCAAACTCTCCCCTGCTCTGTCCTTTGCCTGCTAATCGGGTACCTGCAGGGTTCCAGGAACACGCCCAAGGCGATGGGCCATGGCTTCTGAATCTGCGGGCTTCTGCCTATTTCAGCTGGCTGCGAGCGTCCCACATGACAAACAGTACACCAAGTAACTTGACTTTCTTGGCCATCTGTCTGTTGGCTAAATAACCACCTCTTGGATAGACCAACTCATCACTTAGGCAGCTGGTGTTTTGGCGATTGACTGAGCTGGGTCCAATATTTCCTGACCACACACACCCCCAAAATGAATTTCACAGAGCTTTCCATGGGCTTTGTAGAGTCTTTATAAAGCAAAACTAGATAAGAAAAGCCAAATGAGTGAGGAAATAGATGGGCTGTGCTTTAGAGCAAAGCTTTCTAAGCCATGAGTCACTTTGAATTTCTCCCCTTTTGTGGCTGTGTCTTATTCTCTCCTCCTTTGCCTTTCCACACTTCCTCTGCTTTTCTATAACCATCTTTCTATAATTTTTCCCCCTGAAGTTCCTAGTCTTATACTCCCTTCGACCAACATTTAATTAGGGCTTGGTGTGTACAAGGCGAGGGTCGCAGACCTGCTTTCTGGGGCTGCGGTGCATACACACTGTTCTTCTGGGTTGTTCAGTGTCAGAAACCCCCTCCCCACGTCTAGAGACTCTTCCTTCTTGACGAAGCAGAGCCCCTCGCCCAGCGCAGAACCTGAAAATGCCAGGTCCTCATTTTCCAGCTTCCCCTGCAGTGAGGGTGCAAGTTGTGACCCACACACTGCAAATCAGACACACATACCCCCAGACATTGAATTCGAAGTCTGCGGGAGGGAGCAGGGACCTCATGGAACCCCTTCCAGGGAAAGTGGCACCAGAGGCAGTGGTGCTGGGACGGTCATCAGCATCACTATCCAGGGCAGGTGGTAACGTGGAGCAGGCTAGGGGGTCTACAGTCAGGGGTCTCCACCCTGTCTGGGCGTTCACAGTTTTGCAGCAGGAGCCAGGCCAAGGTGTCATTCCTGCCCGTGTCGCCTCCAACCCACCTCTCCAATCCTCTACTGAAAGAACCACTCAATGTATTTTACTAAATTCCCTTCCTACTGAAATTGGTCAATGAGTCAGCGTTGGTTGTTTGAAAAGCTAGATGCTGGATACTGAAGCTAACCAGGGACCGTACATGGGTGACCCCAGCAGGAGATAACTGGAAAAGGCTGGGGCACCCGTGCCCCATCTCCAGCAGGCAGCCACTAGTAAACCCTATACAAGATGAACCTAGTAATGCTTTTTCAACAGAAAGATAAATTCAGATATCCCGGTGAAACCCTCACTTTTAGATGTGAGCAACCGGTTCAAAAATGTTTGTCAGTTACCCAAAGCATGGCTGTGGGCTATACACAGAGCTCTGGGATTGCCAGTTTGTAACTTCTTTACTTTCACTTTGAACTTTTTGCTTCTATAAAGCATTCAGAATACCCGTAATGGAGAGGCTCCCTATTTCCCCTCTGAGCTCCATATTTTACAGGAACTCAGTTAAGTCGCAGAACATTGTCCAGGACTAGGATGGTGAGAATGCGAACAACATATGCTAATGTCAAAGTACCACAATGGCTCACACCATCACAATCAAAGCCACCAGCCAATCAAAATGTTTGAACCTTGGAAAATGTGCAGCCTCAGATAGTGCCTTCTGTCTCAGAGAGGCACCCATGTTATCTCCTGACATCCCTGCTTCCATAACTTGGTGCCTTGGTCTCAGCTTAACAACAAGGTCTGTTTACTGTCCCAACCCCACAAGCTGAGGTCTTAGGGTGGTGCAATGTTGGGACCTACATGTAAGCATAGCTGCAAGGGAGGCAGACATGTATGTTCCAGGCATTTTCAGCTCCAAAAATGGTGGTGGTGGGGGGGGGGGGGGGGGGGGGGGGGGGGGGCGAGTAATCCTTCCTTCTGCCAAGATTCGTAAGATGTGCAATTCCCCAGACATATAAGTTCAGATGCTGGTGGCCAAAAATACCCACAAGCCTGACTCCCCTCCTGCACCTTCCATGAGCACAGGAAGAATCAGACCAGGGCTAAAAATGGACTATGGTTTCTGAAGAATTACAGTGAAATTATATATTGGATTCTGTAAGTACTCTTGGCTAAATTTATGCTTTCTTTTAGGATTCCACACTTTGTCATTGTGCTGTGGTTATACTCACTAACTTTCCCCAAAGTAGGATCTTTATCAGGATAATCAAGAAAGCATTAAAGATGCTATAGATTCAGGGGCACCTGTCTGCCTGGCTCAGTCAGTAGAGCACGTGACTCTTGATCTCGGGGTCATGAGTTCGAGCCCCATGTTGGGTGTAGAGATTACTTAAAAATAAAATCTTTTAAAAAATGTTATAGATTCAAAGGGTAAGTCTAGACCCACTGTATCAAATACTCTAAGGATGGGGTCCTGGAAATCTATATTTTAAAACTTCCTTGGCAATTTTAATGTGACAATTAGTGATTAATGTGTAATCATTTTAATGTTTAATGTTGAATTCACCTGGTGCAGATACCTTTCAATCCTGAAGATGGGGGAGGTAACCTGGATTAAATTGAGGTCACTCAGCAGGGTGGGCATCTTATTTTTACATGCAAGCAGATGTCTTTCCATGGGAAATCTGCTCCCACTCCACGTCAATGCTGCAATTGACAGGGGCAATGCTGATCGTTGCCAGGAATGTTCCCAGGAATGGATCTGTGACCCTGGCCTAGCCCACCATCCTACCCCATGCTCTTGGCCAGCGTGCTTGACCCAGAGATGACCACATCACCCAAGCACAACCAAGCAGAGTTACCCTGTGAGCATTTTATATGTGGAAGGAGAAGAGAAGGGACCCTGCCTTTGCCTCCAGAGTTGGGCACCTGGGCGGCCAGGAGTCATGGCCAACTAGTGGCAGCTTTCTTTCACAGCAGGGTTAGAGCATGATGCCAAGATGAGGAAGCTTGGACAAGAAACAGAGAGATGGAGATGATAACGTTCTTACGACGTCTCTGCCCACTGAGCCCCTCCATACCACTCATACACAAGGACGTGGCCAAAGAGAGCCCGTTGCGAAAGGCACGGTCTCATTAGTGCAGTCTTTGGACCTCTCAACCTCACAAGGACCAGCCAAGGGTCCAAAACACTTCCTTCCCAAGACACAAGAGTCCTCACAGCCTGTGCTGGGCTCATCTCCTTGAGCAGGAATATCTTCCTGTTTCAGACTCAGTGAGCATCCTTTGTTCTGCTGGCGTGCGTCACATGGCGTGTGGCCCACCCCACTGCTCTGTCCCCTGCAGGGAGAGGACAGGGTCCTTCTGCTGAACACCAGAGGGCTGTGCACAGGCCAACAGCCCTGTGTCGCCCTCTGGCAGGGACCTGCCCGACGCTGATCTTGCTGTCTCTTCTCTATGCAAGGAAAGCATGCTCCATCCAGTCCTTGACTGCACTGTGGTTTTCCTTAGCCACTCTGATCGTAAGGTGCAGGGCGCTTCTCCCCCTGGTGACAGGGAACAGATGCCACTTGCTTCACATCCCATTAATATTTCAAGTGGGTCAAGTGGGGTTTCTGCTCCCGGCAACCCAAATCCCTGGAGTAACAGGGTTGTAGTTTGCTTTCAATAGGAAACAGCAAAAGGATGGAGGGGCAAATAAATTACCATGAAATGAACATCTGCCTACTAGCGTTTTCATATTCTTAGCTCCAACCAAGAAGCTGGTGTGATTAAGTCTACAAGAAAAGTGTTACTACAGAAGCCAGTCTGACTGGATGCAGTGACAAGACAGGACTGTGTGGTTCCAGGGGAGCTTTTGAGGGTCATAAAGTGAGGACTTCAGCCCCAGTGAGCCGGTGGGGGGAGGAGGGGAATGTCCTTAAGAAGGACAATTAACATGATGAAACGTAATCAGTAACAGGGCCAGCAAGAACCTTTGCTTCTCAGATCTCGGACTAAAGAAGCCAACACCTGCCGTGTGTGCCTCCAGTCGTCCCATGGCCTGGCATGGACAGGCATATAGCGTCCCGTGGACGCCTCACAGCGAAGGAAAAGATGAGGGTTGTTTCCCTCACAGATGGACGTGGGACCTAAAGATGTCCAGTCTCCCCGGAGCTTCCTTAATAACAAGCTGCTGCCAAAAAAGAGCAATTAATGATTTTACATGGTTTGCCAAAGCTCCATCAGAACAGCCTCTCGACAACTCTGAGCTCACATTGCTATGGAAACACCGTCATGCCAGACAGAAAACACACACACACATCACACACGGGAGTTATTCTCAAGTTCTGTACGAACTCTTGAGTCTGCGTGTGTGAGCGTGCGTGTACGCATGCGTGCACACGCGGTGACACACACGGACCACGTATATTCTAGAAAAAGCCCGCATACGCTCGGCCCCTGGACTGCAGATTTATGTAACTTTTTTTTCAAAAGGAAATGGTTGACGACACCTTCACAAAGGGGATCGACAGAAGTCATTTTGCTTTGGTCAGGTGTCGAGGGGGTCCTGTTCGACGGATGAAACGTGGACGAGAAAAGGCTCACGAAGCGTCCATCACTCTTGCAGACGCCCCTCCTCGTTCCCTTCCCCGGTTTTCAGTACTCGCTTCACTACTTTGCATAATACCCCCTCCTTCTCAAGTGCTTGCAGCCCCCTTTTCTCTAGGTCTCTTCCAGTCAGAAAGTTCTGAAATTGTAACTTTCTTGAGAATAAATAAGGCATCGGTTATTATTGTTCTATAATTCTTAGATGAAGAGTCAGCAGGAACCGAGATCAGATGCTTGGAAGTGGGAATGGGCACTTCTCTAATGGTCCCCTAGAACTTCTTCTGGAAGATGGGCCTCCACTCCCACTGCACTGTCCCCATCATTACTTGACGTTTGCCACCACCATCTCCTACCTGAGGCATGAAGGGCTTTCCAACTGGTCACCCTGATCCCAGGGAGATTCTCCTCTTCCATTCTCACTGAGGCCAGAGGGATTTTAAAAACTCAACTCTGACCGTATCTTTCCCCTGACAAAAAATGTTCCATCAGTTTCCCATTACCTGCAGATAAA